CAGCTGATCGTATCCACCCTTTGTGCTATGGAGGCACGTGCTGGATTCCATTTCCTTGAACTAGAAGAGTGGTGATTAAAGCCTTTACTACACTGATAAGCACACTTTCCTCCTCTAGTTCATTAAAACTTGGCCAAGTTACCTCTAAAACAGCCAGGAAGTCAATGTTTTTCTGCCCAGTTGTTCTCTGGGGGACCAGGCTGAGGATGAAAGTGCTGGAGAGAGGGGAGGGTGATTGCTCTTTACAGCTGTGTCCCAATGGCATGATGCTGAGCCACCAGGCAGTTTGATTTATTTGGAGATCATACCTCATAGCATCTGCAATATCTTGCATGCATAAAAATTCAGAGTTCTCCTTTGCTTCTCCCAAAACAGGACTTTTCCCACTGTGGTGCATCTCCTGCTCTCACACTAAACCTTCCAGGCAGAATTCTGTGGTTCCCTAGAAGAAGTTGCCCTGTGCCAAACAGATCTTGGCATTAGGAAACTTTCTCTGTATTTATTATTCTTTGAATGTTGTTGTGAAATACATACAGATGGGTACATTCCTGTATCACTTGCTTCCTAGCTTATGATATAGGAGCTCTCCTTTACCATCATCTGTGCTGCCTTTAAGCTGTTGAGTTTCTCCAAGCCTCTCCTGCTTGCTTGGAGAAAGGTGATCTGCGTCAGCTGGGTGATTGACCCAGACTGATTGCATGGTCTCTTTGGACTTCAATAATTCTGTAAGGAATAACACTGTGGCCCCTGCTTTGCTGTAAAAACTTAGTTCTTTAAGCAGCTACAGACAATGCTAATTAAAAAAGAAAGAAAACAGGTGAGAAAGAAAACTTGGCATATGCGTGGTACTTGTGTTACACCCACGCTGCTGTTGGGAGGCTGGGTCCTGAGGGTGTTTGCTGGTACTGGGAGGTACCAGCATCACTGGAGCCTTGCTGGCGATCAGACGGGGCCTGGGCCACCAGCCAGCCGTCACTAGATAGGGTTATCCCTTCCGTGGCTGGAGGGCCAGTCCTTTGGCAGCGGCCTCCTTTTGAAGTATTCCAATGTCATTAAATAACAGAGCACAGAGAGAAGTCCTCCCAGTGTGTGGAAGGAGGAGCTGGCAACCCAAGTTCTTTAGTGACTGAAGGGATTGAAGGAGGGCTCATATAAGGAGTTCCTCCTTTTGAGGGAGAAGTAGGGTACCTCTCTCGTTGTTTGTGGGCATTTGGTTTCAGATGGTTATGGGCATATTTTTGTGTGTCTGGATTTGGCTGCAGCTGGTTGCTGGGTCAGTAAAGCTGTTCTGGAGCACGTGCTGTTTCTGCAGCTGCACCACAACGTGTGAAGGCAGCAACAAAGGTGTAAAGCAGGGGCAGGAACACGGGCAGCCGAGCTGCGAGGGTGGCTGTGGTTAGCCCTGGGGCCTGGCTTAGCCAGCTGCCTGCTGTGTGCGCCAGCTTGGCCTGTGAGCCTGTCTGGCTACACGAGCACCACGGGTTGTGGTCCAGCAAGTGTGAGGAGCTCACAGGAGTTAAGTAGCTCTAGCACCAGGGAGACGTGGACCTGTTAGGAAAGGTCCAGAGGAAAGCCACAAAAATGATCAGAGGGCTGGAGCACCTCCCCTACGAGGCCAGGCTGAGAGAGCTGGAGAAGAGGAGGCTCTGGGGAGACCTTGTGATGGCCTTCCAGTACCTGAAGGGGCCTCCAGGGAAGCTGGGGAAGGACTGGTTACAAAGGCATGTAGTGACAGGATGAGGGGTGATGGGTTTAAACCAGAGCAGGGGAGATTTAATTATACCTTAGAAGTTCTTTGTTGTGAGGGTGGTGAAACACTGGAACAGGCTGCCTAGAGAGGTGGTAGAGGCCCTATCCCTGGAGACATTCAAGATCAGGCTTCATGGGGCTCTGAGCAACCTCATCTAGTTTGGGATGTCCATGCTTACTGTAGGGGGTTGGACTAGTGGCCTTTTGAGGTCCCTTCCAACTCAAAGCATTCTGTGATTCTATGATCTGGGAGTTGGTCTTGGGTATTGTGTTGTCTGCTACTTAGCTGGTCAAATTTCAGCTTTAAAGGAAATTGCAGCAGGTCCAACAGTCAGACTTTTATTAATGGTCTGTTAGTTTTAATTATTTAATTTCATTTTATCTTTTGTTGTTGGTGTTTTAACTTTTTGCATAGGAGAAGATTTCACTATTGGTCCTGCATCCAGTGAGGTGCTGGTGTACCAGAGTTTCAGCAGCTCCTGGCATGCTGGGGCTTCAGTCTTCATTCTGGAGCCCTTCAACTATAATTTTTTCATTGGATCCTGCTTACATGTGCAGTGAGAAGATCTTGAGTGTAGCTAGATCTTCTTTATTGAGTGTCCTTGAACCGTGGCATAATATGACCATGGCTGCTTAGTTGATGTGGGGGATTTGACTGATCTTTAATCTTGGAGTCTGGAGGGGAGAGATTGTTTTATAACTGTCATAAATCTCCTGTTGTTTCAGAATTATTTTGTGTCTGTTCTGTAAGACTTTGCCTCCCTGGGCAGAGGACTCTCATTTGCAGTGTTGGAGAGCAGGATATGTCACAGAGTTTGGACCAATTTTTGGTTATGTCCCGTGTTGAAGGTGGATAATGCTTTTAGTGCATCTCCCAGCCGCAGCCCAGCTGCTTCTGTTTTGACAAGCCTCTGCATTTAAGACTTAAGGAGTCCAGAATTTGCTGTGGATCCTGCTGGAAACCATGTATGTCAGAAGAAAGGAGGAAGGATGCTCTTTGTGAAAGAAGAAGTCAAATGTATTGCTGTGTGTGGAGACTGGCAGAAAAATAATGAGCACTGAAGAATAATTTTGGAAACCTAAGAAAGGTCTTTCCCATAAAAACTGAATTCTTGACATCCTGTAAATCAGATTTGGTGACTGTAAATGTATTAGAGATATTATATATTTTTTAAAGAACCGTTTCTTTACAAAGCTGCATGTCTCTAGTGGACTGAAATGTAGGCAACATATTATGCATAATATCAATGGAGTTGAAGTTTCTTTGAAGAATGTCTTTCATATTAATGGAGAGAGTGGGCTGTTCAAACACAGCTTCCTAAAGCCAGTGTAGTAAGCAACCCAAGCAAACACAAAAATAATATTGAGTCAAAAAATAATTATTTAATTTATATTTTCCCTGTGAGATTGATTTGGTTGTGTTTGGGTTCTTTGGCTGAATTTTTGGTGGAAAATAGTGTCCATAACATCAACATTTTGATAGTATTTTACCCAAGCAATTCTAACTTCCCTGTTTTGTATCCCACTGATAGAGCTGTATTGCTTCTGGATTGTAGCTGGAGTCATGGGAGTAGGATATCCTCTTATCCTTGCTCTGAAAATATTTACTCTGCTCATCTTAAATTCCCAATAGTTTAATAAAGTTTCTGTACTACTGCAGCAAGTTGTAGGCTAGGGAAATGCACAGGGATGGGGTGTGATGTCTCTGCTTCTCCCTTGCTTACCCTAGAAGATTTTCTCTCAGCTCCCACTAGTGAAGCTGGAGTTAGCATCCCTAGGAGTGGCGGTGCCAGCAGAAAGCTCTGCTGTACCTTCACACTGCAGAGTCAGCCTGGCATAGACACCTTCACCCTGCTCATAGCTGTACAGGCACTTTTTGTCCATTTGTAGCATGGCTGTTTGGCTCCTCTGTTAGAGTTCAACTTTCTCTTGTAGCTCTGTCTTCATGCTATTCCCTTACAAGGACTGGTTGATGCATGGCAGGGGTTTGCAGACCACAGGCAAAGATTGTTTGGATTGGTGGTGGTCCACACACTGTTTATCTGGGAGCTTGGTTAGAGGTTTATTTGAATGATGTGAAATGTGTTAACACTGGGGAGGAATATGAGTGTTGGCCCAGTACATGCAATGTTACTTGAGGAAAAAAAAGGCAGCCTGGGATCATCATCCTTTCTTGCAGGACTGGGAATTATTTTTCTACTCCACAGCATGCACACCAAACTGTATTAAATTCTGAGCACCTCCATGATGAAACTTGGTGCTGCTGATGTAGAAGACTTGATTCTATTTCTGCTTGACCAAGGACAGGTGGCCATACAAGAGCAGAGAGGGTTTGAATGATTATGTGTAGTCATTGCTTCAGAGAGCTATGTTTTCAGGATTTTTGTTTTTCAGATTATCAATACCCAAAAAATTAATGTGTGAAGCTCCTCTTTGCTAATTTTAAGCTTGTTGTTTGGGGGAGTGCTTTGTTTTGTTTAAGTGACATTTGTATGACAGCCAGATTTAAACTTCAGGGATCCTTAACTGTGATTTTCTTTTTTGCTAAAAAAATAGCTGGTGAACAACAAAACAAACACAAAAGCAAGACCTTAATTAAAAATGTAACTAAAAATGAAAAATCTACTTGCCAAAAAATAAATACCTTCTTTGAAGGACAGGCTGACCGACACTGGGATTGAATCTCTGATCCCTAAAGTTATGTTCTCTATCTCTGTCTTATTTAGATTAAATGACAACAAGTCCTTAGGTAACAGCACTAACATTTTCTTATTTTCTGTTGTTTAAGGCCAAAATGTCATTTATGTAAGAAGAAATTAGTTTACCTCAGCACTGATGGTATTTTGAGAGACTGACACAATTCCAATGGGATAAGAAGTAATTGGGAGGAAATATGCATTATAATTCACCAAACAGATGTACGTGGGTCTTTTTAGAGAATTGTGTGCTTAATGCTACTCCTCTTCCCTCCACCCCCTCCGCCTTGAATCTTTATTTCCTTTAGCAAGGTTGAGATTGTTCAACATTCAGGTTTCCATAAAAAATAGGGAACTCAATTCCTTCTTTTTCCTAGAAGTGCTGAACAATTTGAGCCATAGATGCTTGATTTTATTTTTTTTTTTTTTTTTTGTAAAATTAAGTGTGTGCATGAATATATATTGACCTTCAAATATTATCAAATGTTGGCAGGATTTATCATGCAAAACTCTGCCTTGAAAAATAGTCTTCTAAGCTCTCCTTTCCTTTTTCAGGTGGATTTGGAGCCAGAAGGCAAAGTGTTTGTCGTCATAACTCTTACAGGCAGCTTCACAGAAGGTAAGGGAATGATTTTGGCTTGTTTCCACTAAGAGCTGGATGCAGGTGTGTGTTCTTGCCATCATTTACTGAGCCGTATAGAAGTGAATGACATTCTCCATGCTGGCCACGTGCTTTTGCATGCTGGAGATTTCTTGAGCAATAGGGAAAACCTGGAAGGGGCTCTTTGTATCAGCTTACGCTGTGGGTGCCCTCTGTGTTGCTCCAGACCCAGGGAGCTGATTTGTGCTTATCTGGTTTATTCATCGGAAGTTGTCCTTCAAATGGGTTGTTTTTTTTCACGTGTACTTTTCACCTGGGTGCCTCCTGAAGGACAAGCTAAGGAGCAGGTAGAGCATGTTTAAAACAGAACATGTGTAAAACATGTGCATGATTTTTAGTTCATAATGATTCCCTTTTACTTCGTGTGCGTTTCTGTTTCTTGAGTTCACTTAGCACAGGCATCTTAGAAGTTTTTAGTGTGACAGCTGCCTTGAAAAAGTATCTGGGAAGATTTTTTTTATGTAACTATATTTTATAGTGTGATGTTCTTAATTTCCCTGTTATTGTGATACCAGTGATGAGAATGGATGTGAACTGTGCTGAAGGAACCCAGGAGATCTGGGATGGGGCTCAGAAACAAAGGTTATTTTCTTTAGACCTACATATGGTTCTTACTTGTTCTAGCTGCAGCCTCAAGCTACATTTGCTGAGGGGTGTTTTCTGTACAGAAGCCAAGAATTGAGGCAGGATCTGCTCTGCTGTCATTGTATCCATATGCAAGCATGTCATGCTTGGCCATTTTTAAATGAGTGTTGTGGGCTTGAGCACAAAGCCAGAGTGTGCTTCAAACTTGTGCTGGTATCTAAGCTGTTAAGGTGTGGTGCTAAGAAGTTCTCAAAGACAAGAGGTGGAGAACTCAAATGTTTGGACTGCAACTGCTTTCTGAGGAAAATGGGAAACTTTGGAAATAGTTTACTTCTCTTTCTTCCATCGTTGTTGAGGATGCGTGCACTTAGAGAACAGGAAGATTAAAGAGCTTTTGATGTTTTCCTTGACTGGTTAGTCCCATGTGTGGTCACATTTAGAGTTTCCAAGAACAGACAGAATCCAGGGCAAGCCTGATTCCATATATTGACTTCTCCCAGTTGGACAGTGGAGGCATGCATCAGGGAGGGGCTTCCTTCTGAAAAACAAGGAGATCTCCTTCATAACATCATCTTTTATTTTTCTCCCTTTATTTTTCTCCCTTTATTTTTTCTGGAAATGTGGAGGCTCAGAATTGTAATTGAAATTTAAGTTTTTTGGAAAGAAGTCTGAGAATAACTCACAACTTGAAAGTACAAAAAGTGGCTTCCCACTTGTTTGCTGTAACCTGGAAGGCAGCTGGCTGCTATCACATCCTCACTGGTGATGGCTAATGTTGCAGATGCTGCTTGAAGGTTGTGTGTGTCTGGGTATGTAGAGAACCCAATGATGAGTTCACATTAGAACCCATCAGGGTAGCATGTAGATCCACATGGAGTTTCAAGCAATATGATGTTTTGGACTTCTGATAATTTTCTTGTGACTTATGAATGGTTAAGTGTGTAACTCCAGTGTGTTACCTTCTCTGAAAAAGGATCCAGCAATGATGACATGGTGCTGCAAAAAAGCCAGACTGAATCAGGCAAAGAGAGTAACATGGCAGTGTCTGTAGACTGGCTCCTCAGGTCACTCACCTGCTTTTTTTTAGCAGCTCTTGTCTCACTGCTTTCAGTAGACTATGGGGACAGAAGGATAATGTACTGGAGTCAATCTGAACTTTGGGGAGCTTCTTCCTTTGCTCAGTAGAGCTCTCGGGAGTTTTAATTTCAAAGATGAAGGGTCGGGACCCTACTGCTTGTCCTCACACTGCCAACGTGTTGTTCATCTCAGAGGTTTTATGCCAAGCATGTTGTTTTGTTTATGGACATAGTGCAATTCACAGGGTCTCGGCTACTGTTGTCTAACTCCAGTGAAGTAAAAGCCCCAAAAGTGGTTGGGTGTGAGGGTGTATAAAGATAAGAAAACCAACCAACCAAACAAACCACCAAAACAAACAAAAAATCTAGGAAGTTAGGTCCACCTGGGACTGTATGGTTCTGTTAGTCCTTTGTAGGCTCCCATATGGCTCTTTGGTCCATCAGTGGTAACCTGTTGTATTGGGGCAGGGAAACAAACCTGCTTCACCTGTTAAAAATCCATGGAATTTTTCAGGAGGAGAAAGAAATGGAGCAATAGGAAGCAAGGGAGGTCTAGTGAAATTATCCCTGCCTGTCTTTATTTGCTGGATGTATTTGTTGCTGTGTTAAGCTGAATCGGATTATATGAACTCCCCTTTTTCAACTGGCATTTCCTGTGCAAAGCAAACAGTGCAAAATTAAAATTAAAATCTCCTTACCTGGGGAGCAGATTACCTCCCCAAGGCTGACCCTGTCTCCGCTGGGTCCTGGTGCAGGGAGGCAGCCTCTCCTCCAGCTCTCTCACTTGCTGACCCGGGACCTGCTTCACTCCAGGCTCTTACAGAGAAGGTGAGGACTGACTTCTGCTTGCCAAACTTCAGGCATTGCTTAGGATTTGATGTTAGTTTTGTTTTGTGGGGTTTATTTCCCTGCCCCCCCCTTACACCCCCCCTTACCACCTCCTTCCCTTGAAGAATTCTATTTAATCTTTCCTTGGGTTTCTGTATTTCATCCTGCCTGATAATGGGACTTTTTTTTTTCCAAGTCATCCAAATTAAGATTTCTTTCAAAATTTCCTTATTCTTTTTACTCTAGATATCAATATGTAGGTTTTTTCACTGATGGTGTCTTTAGCATTTCTTGCATCTCTCCTTCTCTTTGTCTCCTTGCCCTTTTTTCCTTTTAGAACAGTGAAAGTAGCTTCTCTGAGGGGTCTGTCTCTGCCACGGACATGAGGCACATTTCCATCTGGGAGCAGGAGGTGGGAACAGGGTGCAGCGTGCTGTGTGTGGGACCAAACAAAGCTGTGGCTGTCAGAAGACAGTTCAGCTCTGCCCAGCCCCAGGGACTGCAGCAGCTGAGGTTTAACTGAACTGTCAGTATCCTGTCTCCCTCCCTGTGATGACCCATGTGTGTGCCAGGATCGCCGAGATAACCCACAAGAACTCAACTCTGTTTGAAATCTCCTTTAAAAGCAAATTTCTGCTTAATTGCTCTCCAAAACAGGTAGTGCTGTATAGGGTGTAAAGTTCCCTAATGTTCCTTTTCTAACCTTGGTTGTAACCACTTCCAAGTGGGTAGCTTCCAAGTAGAGTCTTCTTCCTCACCACTGCTGAGAAGAACCTGGCAGCACCCTGCCAGGAAGACACCGTTGACTGGGGGCTGTTGTGGTTCTCCAGCACACTGTGCTCAAATATTGATTCTCTGTGCTCTCCCAGGGTGTCATCTAGGTCCTCCTGGCTCTGGTTAAAGCCTCTAACCTGGTGCCTCTGTGGTGACTGCCTTGAGAGCTTGTGTTGATCACAGCAAGTGACTCTGGTGCTACTAGGGTGCCCCATCAGGCCTTGCACAGTCAGTGGCATGAATTCAGAGCTGCTCTCCACTACCTGCCTCTCTTTGCTCCTGGATACCTAAAGTATCCAGTAAAAAACTGGGCAAGCTGTGGATTACTTTTTTTTTTGGTGGGCAAGGAGTGATTGATTTGAAATCACAAGCCTTGCAGTGAGTGTGGGTGAACCACTCCCATTGTTGGTGCTTCTGTGACCTGTGAGCTGTTAGCAGAGACACTCAAGAGCAGATGATCGTGCATGGGTCAGGGTGTTTTGCTGCAGCTATGTCAGACTGGACACCAAGAGGCCCCAGGTAGGTGCCTGAAGGAGGGCATGAACCTCTCCATTGCAATACTGGAGTCCCAGAGCAGGCTGAGTCCCCTTGCAGCTTTGCCTGCAAGGTGTGCTGCTGTGCCCTCAGTTTGCCACCTCTCTTGCCATTTGCTCTTTAATTTCATTAGCTTTGCTCAAAATTAATCAAATTATTTGACTGAACTAATGAATGAAGCAAGCAAGCTCTGTAGAAAATAAAGTCCTTCAAACTCTTGCAATTTGCCATTTTTTTTAAACATTGCCACTCAAAGTAATAATTCTGGCATGAATTTCAATTTTAATTTCATTGTTGTGGGATAAGTAGTGATTGTTTCCTTTCAGTGTCAGCAAAGACAAAGACAAATTTGAGTTCTGGGTGAGAAATAGAACGAGAGTATTGAAAAGCTGAGTGACTTGGTAGGGCAGATATAGCTCCTGTTGCTAAATATTTCATTTTGGTAGGCTTTACAGCAGCGAGGAAGCCTGAACCTAGAGCAGGAAATGCTTCTTCATTTTGCAGTGGGTGTTGCCTGTTGTCACATTGTGTGTTTGGGATGGTTTGTTCTCAAGCACAAAGGCCATTAGTTGTTCGCTGTTGTTTTTCTTAGAATACAGGGGTTTTTTTCCTAATGTGAAGTGATTTTTATCTCAAGAAATAGCATTTCCTCAGACAGGCCCCTGTAAAGATTTGCAGCCTTGAAGATTCAAACATTGTGTAGGCTAAGAAGTTTGTTCTGTACTGTGATATAGCTCCTCAGCCTCACAAAACTTCTGTTTGCAGATACATTATTAGGCTCTTACACAAGAGGGAGAAAAAAAGGTGTTTAGAGGTCCTCTGTAAACTGCAATAATGACTGGTTTTGGCCTGTTTTTTATAGTTAAGGGAATAATTATTAGAAACCAGGAATGGAAAATGCCCTGTTCTTATTCCTTGGTTGGTTGGGCCACTCTTCTGTTTTGGGTTACTTGCCCAAGCAGGAGAATTTTAAGGCGTGTAGCAGACACTGTCCAGAGAACCTCCTGATCTGAACAGGTAGTATCAGTGCAGAACAGGTTAAAGGTTTTGTTCTCTTTCATTCACAGTCTGAGAACATGGAAGTCTTTAATGTCTAGCCCAAAGTCTTATGTGTCAGGGAACAGCAGGAGATGTTTTTCTCTATCCCTGTGGTTTTTTTCC